AAGCACAGGGGTGACCCACTGTCACATTCGGGAAGTACCCCTTTGATGCAACAGACTTTTTTGTCCCTGAAGAGGACTAAGACTAGCCTCTTATTATTTGTTATTACATTTCATAGGTTTAAAATGAGGAAAATTTGAAAAATTTCATCTACACTACATCACGAGGTTTCATTAGATCCCTCACTTACACATAATATATTACAAAGAATATACGTAGACCCTTCTTATAGGAAGAATAAATAGTCTTCTACTTTTATGGCACACAAACACACACACACACACACACACACACACACACACACACACACAGAAACACACCCCCACCCACCCACACCACAAACACACACACTCACACACACACACACATATATGTAAGATACATAACATAGTCTTAAAACAGATTTCTCATATGAAACCATCTAAGCAAGAGTATAACAATTGGGCCCTAACCCATGCATCAATACCAATAAATCCACATATAGGCTATACAGTCATTAGTACTCAAATGAAAGTGAATGCACAAAGTGTCCTACAGACTAATCAACATCCAATGTTAGAATGTGTCAGTGTTCTAATGTGGTGAGGACCTACCCAACTTGACTAATGAGGATCCATGTCTTCTTCAAGTGTCGTCATGAATCCTTCAACAACCGGAACCTAAAATGCTTGGGAAAAAGGGAGAAAGCAGGGTTAGAACATCAGTTGTACTAAGTATTGTACCATATGCACATATAACATATGGATCATGCTAAAAAGGCACATTTTATTCAAACATGCTAATTAACATTGAAAATCCTTATGTACATTCAAGAACCAATACAAGTTAATAGTAACTATTCAATAAGTAAGCCATGTAAATCACAAACCAATAATACTAAGTCTAGTAAAGTAAACATGCATTTCAACATTATTATCCACATAATCAGGACAACTCTATCATGAAGTTATAATATCAACAAATATGTATAAGAGTTCATAACATCATAAGCAAAGCAAGATCATCACACATACACACATATTAAGTCAATGGACTAAAGGACAAGCAAGGCCCTATAACCTCACTCAACCAAGTAAACTCAACAAGAACCATAAGCAATGCCTACTTAACATACTATATATTAAGAGTAAACATCATCATACTTTAACAATAGAGACCAACCACATATTTTTAAGTGACACGAATTTCATCTAGTGTCAATAACATGTAAGATCAACATATACATATAATATACATTCATAAGCATGTAATAATCTCCCATCAAGACTAACTAGTGGAATGTATAGGTAGATCCCATACCCCTACTTAAATAAATTTGAACCCCTCAAGTTATCCAAGTTATATTCCAGTTTATTACTTTAATTTTACTTTCGGGAACATCTTGCCTTAACTAATATAAAACACATGAGACAATGTGGAATACGGTATCATGAAACCCTACACCGAGTGATGGTGTACTATTTGCCAAGGTAGTACAAAAGCATGAGCATAACATCTACGTGGATCCACTAGCTAGTATTCCTATGGGGGCAACATAGTTCAAGAACTAGGAGATACAATTAGGAACCTTTTTATGCTACATGCATTGTAGTATAGGATCTCATGAGTGCATTAGTAATATACCAACTCTATGTTTTAAGGGACAATCCTCACTCCAGTTCACTAAAAGCTAAGCTAGAGTCCCTTTTTGAAATGTCTTTTATGAATAATCATAGCTTAGTTTAGGTCATGCTACCCCTTATATAATCATAGTCATAGTTCATTAGTTATTGAATGAGAAAACCTTTTATTACAAACCTCACATGTGATATTAGCACACTAAAATCATTATATCATAGTAAGGCACATAGGCACTTCGTCACCAACCTTATATCAATACTTCTAAATATTAATATCACAACTACATAATCCAAGACATTTCAATTCAACATCATACAAACCCTAATTAATTTTATCATAAGATATACTTCAATATAAATTCATCACTAACCACAAGTAATCATAATTGAAGTAAAGAATTAAACCACAATACTTACCCCAATCTCCTTCACAAGCCATCATCATAGTCTTACCATCAACCATACAGTTCCACCCAACAATGGATGTAATATCGTAACTCAATAGTAATTAACACAATAATGAAGTCAATTGAATCACTACAGTACAATTCATCACTAGTTCATAGCCTAGGGTTAGGGACTTAGGTCAAATTCATGACGACTTCCCATCCTACGTTAATCAATCAAGAAATAGCATAATTGGATTATAAAATTTCACAATCTAATCATAAATTGGCATAATAGCAACATACAATAGTAATTCACACATCAACAAAGCAAATCTAAAACTTTTCTTTTTGAAATCAAATTGAACGAACCCTTTGGGGAAATAATCCCAAAGGTTAATGAAATCTCATACCTTACTAATTGGTGAATTTAAATGGAGAAAAATTGATTCTTTGCATCCTATAACCATTCTTTTGTTGTTCTTCTACGGAGTTTGTTAGGGAGAGGGATAAAAAAAGAGAAGGAAGAGCAATTGGGTTTGGGGAAATATGAGAGTTAGGTCTAGTTTAATTAGTCTCACTCTTTATATGAAGGGGCTCAATTAACTTAACTGAACCTCCTTTTACCCTTAATTAAATAACTATCCTTTTAACTAATTAAATGAATTAATTAAAACAACACAGCCAAACATAGACCTGACCTACGAGACACCGACTGACGGGTCGTAGGTCACTCGACGACAGTGTGGCCTCCGTGCTGCACATACGTGGTTTTTTTCAGAGAGTATGCCAAATGAACCTTTCACAAATTTGTTTAATTCTTCATCAAATGAGGCATCGATGCCCCGTCCATTCACCAATGCCAAATTGTGATGGTCCTCCTTAAGGTCCTTTGGTTTGTCCTTGGGGAGTCGTACCAGGACGTTTCAACTATAAAATAATTCTCATATTTTTTTATAGACCTTACCACAAAATTTCATTGAATTTCAACTCCTAAAACTTAGCCAAATAGGCTAAGATACACTAGAATCTCTTGAACTAGTTTCTGAACGTCATGGATGTTCCTTGACTTTTTGATTCTAAAGAATCCTAAATGAAATGTATACATCATTATTGACATAAAAAAATATTACATCTTTTAGACTCCTATGCTAGGCTCTAGGTTAGGCTTTACACATTCGGAGTGTTACAACCACAAGCCGTATGTTTATCCACGATCCATTGTTCATGTCGTTGATAAAAATTACATTTGAGACAAATCTTTCCTTATTTTCCATTTCATGCTTTGCTTATGATATTTCTAGTATAAATATGGTTTGTAATTTAAATGTTTAGGGGTAATACGTATAGGCGATTATTGTTTTTACCTTTTGGGATTGATTTGAAAACACATTAGCAATTTAATTATTCAAGCTAGTCTATGCGCTTTATTTTTAATTCTAATTCAAGATTTCTGTAATCATCTATTCTAATTATAATTTCATGATTTATCTTAATAACCATAGTATAAAATATGAATTCTGAAGCACGATTATCTAAATCCACAAGTAGGATTGTGGGAACCATGAGCAATTAATAAAGTACGAATGATATTCATGTAATTCGAGAATAGCATAAGCATGTATTGTTAATTCTATAGTTTAGAATGCTTTATTGCACTCCACAACATTAAAAATCATCTCGTTCGTACTTCTCACACAAAGGACGTAATAAATGAGAAAATGATTGTACAACAGAGATTTAGTTGAGTGTTGCCTCTATCTAATAGGCAGGCCTTAATCATTGTGATGTGAGGGCTAACGTGGTTAAAAGTAAGGGTTGTTAAAGGACACACCCATAGACTAATCAAGTTGCCTGGTGAAATTCCTTATTTAGAGGGCGAATCACTTCGAGATACCTAACTTATAAACCTTGCATGTCTACATTAGGATCGAATTACTGTTATTTTGAATACTGCATTAAGAGCTTGTTGGGAACACTTATGCCCATTTTTTCATCTCATATTGATATTTCAAATTGCAAATCCTGCTTACTTGTTACATAGTTATCTAAAGTAACAAACCATTAAAGTTGGTTACAACCCCACCCTTTTTGTTACTTTTCAAGGAAACTCTTTGACCCATCTTAAATAATTGTGAGTTTTCCTATGTTTGATAAATATTCCTCTCGAGATCGAGACTAACTTAAAAGTTAGGTTCTTTATTAGAAACTACGGCTTATATTTCTATAAGGAAGTCCAATTTAGGCGTGTCAAATTTTGTCGCCACTACCAGGAAATATGACTTTTATATAGGAATAAATTAATTATATAACCTTAGTAATGTATTTATTGATTTTGCATTTTTGATTTATTTTTGTTTTCTACAGGTTTATAATTTAGTGTACGCGAAGTACAGTGAGTAAGAGCAATCCCTTGAATCCCTATGATCCGGAACTATGGATGACCATAAATTTGACATTCATGTATGTTTTCTAATTAATAACTTGTTAAAATTATCAAATCCAATATTTTTAGTATCTTTTAAACAGTTTCCAAGACAAATGTCAAAGCATGACGTAGACATCCAAAAACTAGTCTTGTGTGTGCTATTGTGTCCTTGTATATTGTATATGTTTTTATGTGGTGTTTAGAGTCTTGGATCAGTGGAGATTACCCTAATGTCTAAATAAAAGTGTTAATGGTCAAAATGTCTGGGCACGACTCCTCAATAACCAACAAAAGGATCCTGAATAGGACACAAGTTTTTGCAAGGAGGCTGAATAGGCAGCATGCAGGCAGCCCTTTTTGGATGTTTTCTGCGCGTCGCGCACCAGCCACTAAAAAGGAAAAATAGTTTCCTTGCTACGTGGGCTCATCATGAACCATTCTAACTCAAATTAAATTCTACCACCAAGATGTCTCAGAGTTGGTCACGGTGGTTTAAAGTCAAATTATACTTTATTAAAAGGTCCAACTACTGTAGGAGTATTTTGGGTAGTTATGGTATTTATTATAAATGGTTTTTGATTAATTTTTACCCCAATTCACAATTTAAAACAAAAGCCTCAAGCTGAAAATCAAAAGATCTCCATTCTCTCTCCAAAGCCTCCATTATTGAACTTGGAAGCTCCAAAAAAAGAAGGTCAATTTTCAAAGGTTTCAATAAAAAATATTTGGATAGGACTTCAAAAAAGTGTGGTAATTTCATGCGTGATTGTTCTATCATACAAGGAGCCAATTCAAAGGACTTTCTCAAGATCTCAAATATCCTAAAATTATGATTTAAAATTCTAAACACAGTTTCTTGAATTCAAAAGATTTAAATTGATTATATATGATGTATTCAATTTTAATTTATGGTTTGATAGTAAAAAATTTCACGAACCCATGATCATCCTAATTCCCTAATTTTTTTATGATAAACTAGGTTTGATAATTGTGATTTACTATTGATGGAATTGTATTTAGATTGCTTTATGTTATTGATTCTTATTCTTATCTATCTTTAAATATATTGAATTCAGATTGTAAGGTTGAGTTGTGGTCTATCCTTATTGGAATGGTAATGGGTAAGTCCTATTGTTGTGTTGAAATTGTTTGAGATTTTAAGGGATGGTGATTTTGGCTATTGATGGTGCTAAGTCAATCTAATTCCCATTTTTAATGTAGAAATTATTTCGAATTACTATTGATTGGTATTTTACACTTATGGTGATGGTGCGTACTTGTTATAATTGTTATGAACATAGACTTGTCGGTATTATTATGTGAGTTGTGGTATGATCATTTTATGGCTTATATAAATGTAAAATGTGAAGGATGATATAGTACATGTGACTTTATGAGGTGAACGAATTATATGATACATGTCTGCTCTTGATTATATCTTGTATATAGCTATGACATATTGTGAATGAAAGCGTGTTTACTCTAAATGTGGCTATGTGATGATGATACTCTATGAAGAGTTCTATATATATATATGGTGTCTTGTTTAGAAGACCTAGTTGTCCCTACTTGATTCATGAAAGTTACGTGAATATGATCTCAAGAATTGGTAGGCTTAGGCACCCTTGTCATGAATGTGTGAATTAATGAAAGTCTAGGATCGATAAATCTAAAGTAGGTACCCTTCTGTGAAAGAATAATATGGAACATTGAATAAGAAAAGAAGGTTAGTAAAGAATACTTGAACTTGTAGACATTAATGGTTGCCCTTCTGAGTGAAATGATAGACTTAGAGGTAGGTATGCTGGAACGACAAGAATCAATCTCTAAGATATTCATCAGAGCTATATTAATTATATACCCCTTTTGGATGTGGTATTATGAGTTCGCAGGAATTAGAAATTGTACCTTCTCGAAGACTATTATATGAATGAACTTACCCTATGAGAAACAAGGAAAATAACTGAGTGGATATACTTATGGTAGTTACTCTACTTGAAATATGAGACTAGAGTAGAAGGAAGCTGTTGATATCTCTAACCCATGTGCATATATAGGATGTGTCTTTAGTTCTACCTTTGGAAAGTATAACAATTTTAATGGTGTGGTGTCTCGTATTATCGGATGACATTCCAAGCTACTATGGTCTATCTCTATTTGCCTATTCTCATTGTGGGATGAACACTCTAGTTATTGGATATGTTCTACAATGTGAAGGTAGTTGAATGGTACATTATCTACACATGACACGAGTAGGCTTTGAAGATTGTAAAGTGAGTTCCCTAGGTCTTCCAATACCATTATGTGAAGTCCCTTAATTTCAATAATGTATCTTTTAGGATCTTTAGTAATGAATGTTGACTTGTTGTGGCTGTGTTGAAAAGGAAATATTATTATCTTTTGCAGTGTTAAAGAACACTTGTGTGTGTATTGAAGAGGTTATATGGGCGGTCTATTTATGTCTCACATAGGTGGGTCTTAGGATAACCATACGTAGAGGGTTTAAATTTCTTAATAGGATACATAATGCCTATGGTCCTATCTTGCATATTATGTGAGTATTATCTTATATGGTTGATCATGGACTTGTATGATATCTTTAGCTCTTTGCTTTATTAGTATTTTACAAAAGTAGCATGAAAATAATATTTCAACTAAGATGTCTCTTTTTACATAGTTTTCTTTCATGTTCAGAATACTTAGTGTATTAATTGTACTGATTCCATTTTCTTCTTTGTGCCTATAAGTGTAGGTTGTTGCAAGGGAAGAATTCTAATAGTTGAAGATTGGTAAGTAGATTTCTCTCGAAATTGGTTTGTCCTCATATGTTCGAGGACATGAACTATGAATCTAGTTTTCTTTCATTAAATACTTTCTATTTCTCCTAAGTATCTCTTCGATATAAAGAGATGTGACACTATGATAATGAGATGTTTCTTAGGTGGGTTTGTGATGAGACTTTGTTTTCTTAAGTTTTAAAAAAGAGTTACCTTGTTGACTTTCTTGTGAAAAGTTTTAAATTCCTAACTATTTTTCATATTTATATAATTAAAGAATGCTAAGAGGCTTGTATAAGACCTCCGGGAGAACGAGTATGCCGCGTCACAACTTGGGTGTGCTCTCACGTCGTGACAAACTTGGAATTAGAGCATAAGGCTATGAAGTAGTATTTAGGGCTCAAAATCTCATGAGGCCACGTCTAGAAGAGTCTTCATCATCAGTGTGAGTCGTTACACCTCTATGAGCAGATGCTATAAGACAATAGAAATTTCACATTCTTCATTACTCTTGTGTCATGCAACAAATTTGAGTTCTATAAGTTTCTTTTCCTAATATTTTATCCTATGTTTATAGGATATGAATACAAAAAGGGCACCCGCAAGAAGAGCGAATGAAACAGTAGTTAATGAGGGAGTTGTTCCCCGAGATGATAGATTTCCTCAAGATGAACAAGTCGCTATAGCTAATCAAGGTAATAAGGCTCTGGTGGTTCCCCTTGACATGACTAATGAGGAGGTTAGAGGAGTTGTACTTACCCTAGCCCGAGCCATGACGCCTCAAGCAAATAAAGACATTGGGCCTAGGGTGAATGCTGTTGAGGACTTTATGAGGATGAATCCTTCTACCTTTCTTAGCTCTATGGTGGTAATGGATCCCTAAGAATTCTTAGATGGTGCTTATAAGGTGTTGAGTGTTATGGGGGTAAAAACTGAGTAGAAGGAGCAGCTGGCTTTATACTATTTGAGAGAAGTTACTCAAGTGTGGTACACACAATGGAAGGACAATAGGCCGGTTGAAGTGGGTCCTATAGTTTGGGATACATTTAAGCAAGCATTCTTAAGGAAGTACTTTCCCTGTGAAAGAAAAAAGGTTAAGATTGAGGAGTTTATAAATATTAGGAAATTTAATATGATTGTGGAGGATTATTCTTTGAATTTTTACCTTGTTGTCTAAATATACTCCATAATTGGTGTCGAACGCTAGAGATGAGATGAGTAGGTTCTTGACCGGTGTTTAGGATATTGTGGAGGAAGAGTAACGTACGGGCATGGTCCATAGTAACATAAACTTCTCAAGACTCATAGGGAATGCTTAATCCATTGAAGAATCCATGCTTAGGAGGATAGTGAAAAAATTGAAGAGAGGTAGAACAGATGAGCAAGGTCAACCTAGGGTTAAGAAGAGGGATCCAAATAAATATGTTCCTAGTGCTCCTAATTATAATTATGATAGGGGAGGTTGTTCCGAAGTGGATAAACCTATTTGTTAAATTTTGGGAAGTCTCTAGCCGGTACTATTGGGTATTATGGATTTCGGAAAAAATGATCACAAGGTGAGATATCGTCTTACTATTGCTACTAGAGAGAGAGATGTCAAGCAAGCTCACAATAATGGTAAGTTTTTTTGTTTGGCAAAAGAAGAATTGTTTTGATGCATTTCAAGCTAACAAGGAAGCGAATCCGGATGAAGGTTCCGTAAGTTGTAGCTTCCTTTGGGTGTTGTGATAGGTTCCTTCTAAGTGGGGGAGCATGGTAATGTTGTCGGGATGATGTAATTTTGTCTCTTTCCTCCTATTCTATTCAAGCTTGAGAGTTAGAATTTCCTAGTAGCATATTTCATGTGTTCGGGAGTCTTTTGTGAAAATGAGTTCCCTTGATTCTTTATACATTGCATGCTTTCATTGTTTAATGTTTTATGGTAAAATGATATTTATTGACCTTGTCATTTATGTTGTTATGCCTCTATAGTTAATTTCCTAAATGTTGCATGAATATACCTGTGAGAATACTTAAAAATGAATTCTTGAAAATGTTGTATAATTGTTATTTTATGAGAAATTTGCATTTTGTTCAAAAATATTGTTGTGTCATGATATAGTGTGAATAAAGAAGTTCATCCAAGGTGAAATGAGAAATGTGCAGTATTAAGGCATAGTTAGTTTGTAAATATTGTTCCTACATTCTTGTTATGTTGTTAGGCTATATGTGTGAAGTTGATGTTCCTAATAGCATCATAAATTAAATGTAATTGTTGAACGTATGATGGTAGTTTGCTAGTCTTGAGTCTTTACCTCTTGAAAGTGTTTAAGTGTCATTTGAGGACGAATGTTTTCCAAGTGCGGGAGTATTGAAACACACCCCAAAATGAATTACAATAAATTTGTAAACACCATTACAATAAGGTAGCACAAACTAAAGCTTCCCAAGTGTTCAATTATTTGGTAATGTGTTGAAATCATGAAGAGTATATTTAAAGGTCAATCATGAAGAGTTTTGAAGTTGAAAGTCAAAAAACGACCAAGATGTTCCAAAACTAGTCTTGTGTTTGCTAGTGTGCCTTTGCATGTTTTATGCATTATTTTGTCTTAAAAATGATAGGAAGGGACCCTAGCACCTAATTGGTTTTATTTAGGGTCAAAACGTTCGGGTAGGACCCACCAAGGACCACACTAATGGTCTTTGAGAAGGACCTAAACGTTTGTAAGAAGCTGCTAAAAGTAGTCCAAACCCCGACCATCAATCAACGGCTAATAGCTTGATTGATGACGTGTTGTTGGTAGGCGTGGATTCACAATTAGTTGTGGTATCCTGCCCCAAAAGATGAGCCTATGTAACAAACCAGAGACTTGCAGGACAGTTCTTTGATTGAATGACGCCCCGTTCATGGGGTGGCCTACATTTTTTTGTATGTGTCTCAGCCAACTTAGGGTCAAATCTGGAAATTCACAACACTTTTAAATTAACTTGTAGACGGTTATTGGGTTTTTAGGTATTTTAAGTTAGTTTATACCCCTAACACCTAAATTAGACTTCACTCTGAAAAAACAAAACCCCTCCTTAAAGAAAAACTCTCTCAAGACTCAATTAAATCTTGAACTCAATGTAGAGCTAAGATTGATAATTTTATGTTGTTTCTTATACAAATGTCATGGCTTTTCTTCATACAAGGTATGGTAGTTCATCCTTCATTTTTCTCTCATACAATGACCCAATCCAAAGTCTTTTCAAGAAGGTTTGAAAATCCCAAATTCTTCTATTTTGAATTCTAAGCATGGGTTCTTCCATGAAATGGTTAAAATCTATGAATCATGACTTTTTCCATGTAAATTGATGATTTTATGATCATAAAGTCCATAGACCCAGGGTCATGCGAATTTATGAAATTTTGACGTATGAATATGGTTTGATGAATATAATTGGTTAATGGTAGAATTTTGTTTATACTATGTTGTATCCTGATTATATATTGTCCTTTCTGCCTTATTATGTTAATTTATTGGATAATTAAGAAAAGGTTATCAAAGCTTGGATGAAGGGTAATATGACCTATATTATTTAATTCTTATTAAAATGATCTTAAGTGGTATGGTCTATTTATGGTGGTGGTGTTTACTTGATGTATTCAAATATGTATGTAAATCGTGATTATTGTCTTGAAGGCATTGATTGTGAGGAAAAGTGATGTTATGATGTGTAAGTATGTGATATCTTATGATGTTAAGAATGTGCGTCTTGAAGATATTATGTCTAAATAAAGTATAATGTGAATGTGAAGTATGATTGTGAGTGGATTATGATGAGTGTTGGGTGATCATGTTTAGAAGGTCAAGGTTATGTGGAAGGTGTACTCTCATTTACTCACACACACAATAAATGAATAAATGAAGCGAATGAATGAAAATGGGAGATTTTGGGTTTGACACTCTTCGTGAGTAGTGATGAAGTATCTAGTACAAACCCTTAGATTCTTCAGAACTCTAAATAATGAGAAAGTCGACTTTGGGGTGGACATTATTCGTGAGTTTTGATTTAGTGTCTAGTAGGAATATCATCATTCATAAGAGCTTTCCAACGAATTAATGATTGGTTGGAGGGAGATACTCTTCGTATGTTGAGATAAAGTGTCCATGAATAACCTCTAGAGATTTGTACTCTTCAAGAGTCGAGATGTAGTACCTAGTAGCAATCTCTTAGGCTATAACTAATGAATGTCTAATACTCCGCGGGGTATTAATGCTTAGCACCGAGAGGATTGAAGAAGGGGTGGATAATCTTCGTGAGTAGAGATGTTGTATCCACTACACCTCTTACCATGATCACTCTTCGGTTTACTTATTGGAGATCCATGTAAAGGCTAAGAGAATGACTCTACCTTAGACAAATGGGATCCCTTATCTAGTATGGGTTAATACGGGATTACATGTCAAGCTTTCATGATGTATGTTTGTTGAAGATAGCCCTCACAAATGAATGTAATGAACTAGGCCTTCCTAAGGATGTACTACTTAGGGTAGGTGGCTGAATGGGACGCCATATAACCATTGCACAAGTAGACATTTGGAGGGAGTCTTCGTGTGCCCTTGTTATGAAAATGAATGAATGGGTCACTACGTAAATGATGAATATGATGTTCCCAGTATATGGAGATTTCTAAGAAGCAATAAATGGAAGTAGTAGTATGGAATGCTACTTTTATATTGCATTAGTATAATTTGGGGGTTGTCTATGAGGATGGTCTTTATGTGAAGTTCTTAAATGCATGTGTGTTTCCTCTAGTATCTATAATAATGAATGTTGACTTTTTCTGTTGAAATTGAGTAAGCTTATCTTTGTTAGTGTTAAGGTTTGCTTAGGCGTGTACTAAGTGGTATGTATGAGTGGTTTCTACATGTCTTACCTAGGGGAGTCTTAGAATAACATTTGTTAGGAAAGTCTAAATGTTTAATGGACTAGTTGATAAATGTGTCTAAATGTTAACAATTATGAAAATATTATTTGTTGTGTTAAAT